AATACTATACTATAACAATATCTAATTTCTAAAATAAAAGATTTGTTAGGTCGATTTCATAAATTTTATAAATTTTCTTTTTAGTAAATCTGGACACTCTGTTTCAGACCGCAATTTGTTGGAATTTCGAATGCAAAATTGAAGAAAAGAAAATGAAATGCATTCACTGCCGATTCCCAATTTTTGGCTGGAGCCGATGCCGATGCCGATTGATCGGCCTTAAGATAAAGAATCGGCCGATGCCGATGCCGATTCCTTAAAAAAAACTACCTGGTTATAAATTCATCCAAGAACAAATGTTTTTGATAAACTTGTATAATAATAAAAGTAAAACATTAAAAATAATATTACAAAACAAATAATCATTCAAAAATTTATTCACTTATTTATGTACATATGTAAATTTTTATTAAAAGTAGTATATCGCCTATGCATACTTTATTCCATAGTCTTTATCTTATTCAATGTTAAGAAAGTAGTTCATTCGAAATCGCATTCCTTAGTTGTAGTCATAGCAGTAAAAATATGCAGCTTCTGCTGACTATAAAGGTGTTGTATTGAATAAAATTTGTGAATTAACAGTAACCGTAGATTTTTATTGATGAAAGTATTTTTGTAACGTAAATAATTTCACAATCCAGTGAAAAGAACCCGAAGGATTAAGGAAGTCAGCTATTAATTCAAGGATAATCGCAACAATACTTACAGTAACGACATTTTAGTATTCTTTGGCTATTTCCGGAATTCCCTTTCGTTTATTTAATGTTTCTCATTTTTTATGAAAGCGTAGCTCGTTATCTAACAAAAACCATGTTAGTAAAAATTTCAAACTTTTTTTTTTAAACATTCTGAGTACCTATGCAGTTTTTTAGCTCATTCAATTTTATTTTAATGAAGTCCAAATTTTAAGTAACTAGGACTTAGTATAGATTTTTGGGAAAGCTAGTTCAATGAGCTGAACGATCTAGAAGTAAACCAATCTTTAAAGTGAACTAAAAAATCCAACTCTAATAGAAACGCTGGCGCTGGCATCGCTTCGACTGCTGAGTATGAATACTTGCATTTGTATGAAAGTATCACATTACCAAAGTTGGGCATTGCCAACGCAAAGCAAACCATAAAAATGGCCAACTATCAACTTTTCGCGTGCATCGTTCGTCAGCTGTTCCAAGTAATCAAAATTATGTGAAAAAATTTTTCTTTTTAATCAAATGCAGGGAAGGAAAATTTCTATTTATCTTCCGCTAGTATGTTATTACCGGCCGTCTTCACATGCTTGAAAATCTCGCTTGCGTTCTGCTTTATTCTCTCGCAAGCGAGATAGAGTTTTGTTGACTGGGCATTTGACAGCATACTTTTTCATTTGTAAAATGTCGCCAAACAAAGGTTCAAGTCCGCTCGGTATGCGAGAAAAAGCATGCTTCGTACTTTTTGCGGTCTACACGTGCGGTTTCTCGCATGCGTCGTGACGCAAGCGAGATTTTCCAGCACGTGAAGACGGCCGGTAAATAAATGCTCAGCTCACGAATTCGCTTTCGCAAACTCTTTTCTCTAAACCAGTTACAAATACAACGTCGCGTTCTTGCGTAATCTTGTATTTTTGGTTG